ATAAATAATGCCTGGATCTTTGCACACAACTGATAAAGCATTTCTATTGAAATTATTTTGCCAAAATCCAATTTATCATCAGACTGTCGATGGATGTCTGTATTAAGGGCTACCACAGAACATCTTTGATAAAATAATAAATTTTCTTGTTAAAGGTTAGGGTTTTTTGTTTCGGTTTTCTCCATAACATTTATTACGTTTTCATCTTCATCAGAACGATAACGAACGGTTCATTATTCATGTTATGTGCCCAACATGCTGAGGGCCAAATTTTCATGGCCAACAATCAAAGTCCAATAATGATTATCTCTCTCATTTGGGCCATTCAATCTGTCTGCTTTTCTCATTTTCTTCTTCTTTTTCTTTTCTGAAAAAAGTTTATCGTCGAACAAAGAATATGTTTTGACCAGTTTCAATAACTGCCAAATATCATTATCCAATTTGCTTATCTTTGACTTGTGCATCATTATTATTTATCATCACTCAGCATCTCACTCTCACTCACATCATCGAGTTGGGAGATCTGAAGCCTGTCACAGCTGACATTGATTTTCGTATGTAGAGAACATCTAATAATGCAGCATTTTCTTTGTCGTAACTGATTTCGGTGTCTGTTCGTCATCAGGATTTGTTGCTGTTTAACTTTTTGTGTTGGCCTGACATGACAATGTCATCGTTGATTTCTTTATTCCTTCTTTTGGCTAATGAATGTCTGATAATTTTATTCCTTTTGGCTATTGCTTTTCAAAAGAAAAAGATTAGCGCAGACATTGTCGTTGATTAAATAAATATTTAATTTTGATGCAAAATGCAGACAACGTAGCGTAATTTAGAAGCTGATATCTTTTGTTAATATTTCAAAATTTCCACATATTAGACTTTAAGTTAATCACCCTTCCCGAATGATTTTAAATTTATAATCTTGTGAAAATCTCCTGACATGATTTTGTGCAGTTCCCCATTTTCTATTGCATCCTTGAACTCATTTCCTTGTAAAGCAATTAATCACTTGCCATCGTGTTGAATATCCATGCCAAACCTCCTGCCCCCACCCGTTGTGGGTGGCGAAATAAATTAAAAAAAAAAAACAAAATTACCACCGACTCTATTTCTTTCTTCTTTTCATTTTCAATCACTTTTATTTTCATTATCTTCTGCTTAGGATTCTCTTGTTCTATATTTGTAACTTTCATTTTCACAGTTTTTAATTGAATTTTAACGTCGCAGCCACACTGACGAAGAGTAGGGATGATAGCCACCATAAGGAACAGTGGCAGCATAATGAGCTCCGGCAGCATATGAACCATAATAGGGGGCAGCATACGATCCGTAATAGGGCGAGGTGAAGGCTGCAGTGTAGGGCGAGGCAGCTACTAAGGGAGCTGAGTAGACCAAAGGCGAAATAATGCCACTGGGCTTAGCCGTGGCTAGGGTAATGAGGCCCATTAAACACAAAACAATCTGTAACAATGTTTGTGCGGGGTGGGTTAAATGAAAGGAGATCTACTCGTATATTTTTAGGCAGCAATAAGGATACTCACAATTTTCATCATGATTGTTCCGTTTCTGTGGTGGAGAATTCTTGTATGCAATGTCTGTCGTCTGTTGGGGACTGTTTGGTGTTTGTTTATTTGTCAGTGCTCGGCATCGTATTTTATACTCATTTTCATGTCAGATAATTTTCTAGAATTCACACTCTGACGGAACAACAAACAATTATCAATGTGAGCATCAAATTAGAGTTTTTGCTTAATTAGCCAGCAAATAAATTAGATCTGATTATTAAGAATGAAGTTTAAGAGTAGAGATTTGTTGTTGGTATTTTCCAAAATCCACCTTCAATTTCAATACTTCTTCCGGTCACATAAAAAGCTAATGGCCAAAGACAATATATGGTCGGTTTCACACATATTTCAGCCGGCTTGTAATCATGCCATGCAATGGCAGACATTCAAACCAAATGACCGGCTCAGCCAAGGGTGTATGGGTGTGCGTGTGTTACATTTGTTGTCTTGTCATCGCCGGATTTGCTTCAAGAATATTAAATTAATTTGATATTTGTGTTGGTGTGTTAGTGTGTGCGTGTTGTGTCGTCGTTTACTGGGCGCGGTTTGGGGGCCTTCTTCTGCTGTATTTTATGTTGCCTCATTTTCGCTTTCGTTTGGTCAGATTTGGCTACTAAAATTCGCTTTAAACGGTTATACTGTTTTTGGCCATGTTGAGAGTGGTTTTGTTGGACACTTATCTGTTGGTTGGCGGCTGGTTAGTCATTCATTGTGCACATTGGGTTGGTGTGCCTGATATTTGGTTCCCAAGTAATTAATTTTTATTTTTTTTAATTTAATCGTGAGCAAATTTTAGATATTTTGTTAAAATTGTGATTGTGATTTTTTAATAATTTGTTTATCAGTTGTATCATTATCATAAATAATAGAAAGAAACCGAATGTAAAGTTTTATGGTATTGACAAAGCAAAAAATTATTGGTTCTATTTTTTTTTTTGACACTCTCAACTGGGGTGCTACTATGTAAATTATATAGGTTATGCAAAATATAAAAATCTGATCCCAAGGACTATTTCCTGTTCGACGTAAGAACTGATGCTTGAATGGAAGAAGTATATTATGCATTTATTATACGTAGTCCATTTTGAGCCACTGTGCATGCATAACTCCACTAGTGTAAATATGTTTGGTCATTTATATCTGATGCTGTTATTGTTGTACACCATTTTTTTTTTTTGAAAATTATTAAATATTGTTTTATTTTGTTCTGCCAATAATTTATGCCATAATGTTGATGTTATTATTTTTTCTTTTTGTGACCTTAGCAGATTTTTGTTGTTGTTTTGCTGTTGTGTTACTGTTTATTCTCCCTTGCTTCATTATCGCTAATACGCCTTGTCGTTTACATTCTAACAGCGTGCGTGGTGTCATGCAACATAAATTACTATCAGCCAAACATAAATAATCATCTGCCATGCCAATATGTGTATGTACTACACTACCAGAGATACATATGTATGCACACTCACATACATATTCATATACTTACACATTTGCGAATATGTGTCACTTTGAACATGACAGTGTGTTGTGGGTTCTTTGCTTTAATTCTGTTTGCGGCACATTTACAATGGTGAGTGTGTGTGTGAGTGTTTATATGTGTATTATGCCAGTGTGTGTGTACGAATTTTTATTTGTGTGTCAGGGTGCGTAATTACGGTTTGGGCAAGGTCAGTTTAAATGCTAATTCATTTCCACATTCATTAAAAGATTAAATGTTCATTAATTCAGATTAGAAATTGCCCGCGAGAGATAATTACATTTTTCTCGCTGATCGCAGCATGATGCGAAAAGTGTGCATCGCAGTTGGTTAGATTTGAGTTGATTGTGACGGGATATTTAAAATGTAATAAATTTATCTGTCGTTTATTAAAGAGATTATGTTATTTTTATAAGGAGCTAGTTTTAACAGAATTGGAGTGTTTCCATATAAAAATGTATCAAGTTTATTCTTAGTGATTATGAATAGCCCAAAGATTTGAATTTCTTAAATTTTTGAAAAGTCCTTTTTTGGTTTAATTCAGAGTGTAGATTCTTCAATGTTTTTCAATTTATGAGAATTTATCCGTTATTTCTGTTGAATTTATTAATTACATTAAATCACTAAATCTGGCTTCAAATGCAGTTTAAGAAAGTATGAATTCTACGGAATTAGAATCGATCGATATGCATATATACAAACATCGTTCATGTGTATTGATAAAAAGCTTTCAAAAGCTGATAATCAAATTTTCGTGCTTTTGTTTTTATTTTCCAATACCCATTCCATTAGCATGAATGTATTGGTGGGGTGGAATTTAAAAACATACAAACCAACTTAAAATTGCCTATATTGTATTGAGAACAATGATGCAGGAATCTGTTACAACCCAAGCATAGATGGTTCGGTAAAATGAAGTATAGAAAAGGAAATTAAAAAGAAACTGAAAGCAAAACTGTTAACTGGATTATTGACGGCCAAATGAATAGGGCCCGGCATGTGGGCGAGAAAGTGAAGAAAAAGTAATTTGCAATTATTTTCATTTAAAATTAAAAAGAATCTCGTTTCCTCTTTTTTTCAATTTGCAATGCTGCAAATGTTAAGATTAAATATTGCAGTCTGCGAATTAAAGCTATCCTTCTCATCTGCTTCTTTCTATGTTAGAAGATTCGTAGGAGGAAAACCAAAACATTGTGGTTTACAATTAATGCCATTCCCAACTCTTCCCCCGCTACCAATGGTCTTCTTGTATGTCAAATTAAATGTTGCCCCTGAGTGTTTTCATCAATCTGCAACTTGTTTTCTATGTCCCTTTGCCTGTTGACAAGTCACCGGCGATTTCATCAATGCGATGTCGAGTATTTGTGGTCATTTGGCAAACTGGCAATTGAAACAAACCTAATTGGGTCGTTTCTTTGCCTTTCGTTGTTTGTTTGTTTGGAAGGTTTGTCATGTGGATGCTTTACTTGTTAATTGAGTGTAATTTTGAAAGTAGGATTGGAGCTGGATTTGTTATTGGCAATTAACAGGATATGACCTGATATTTATTACAAAATTAGATTTTTGTATTATTCTTTCTAATGTCTCTTTTTTTTGTCGCTTTCAGGTAAATATCTTCTTTTGCATACTGTAATATTGAAAAAACGCTTGAAAGTACCGCATACAATAATATTAATAAAATGGATTACTTCAATCGAAAGTTTTGGTGCGCACCAGTCAGACAGATGGAAATGTCTTAATCGATTCAAAATTGTTGAAATAACCACTACTTCGATGAAGCACATTTATTGGTTATAATGTTGACAGTTTACAAAATGGAGGTTCCAGACTAAATTTATAAAATAAATGTATCCTTCCCTAATAATATTGATATGGGCACACATTTTCTTTTTAAATCAACAACAAATTTTCATTACTTTTTATTTAGAGATTTTCGTATTTTTCTTTTCAAAACATTAAAAAATAAAACAAAAACAATATCCGTTCATTTCCTCAAATCCTTAAATTCAAATCTATTTACGCAACAGATAGGAAGCAGCATAAGGATAAGTGTAAGCGCTGGCATAAGGAGCGGCAACATAGGGAGCAGTGTAGGCGGCAGAGTAGTAAGGAGCAGTATAGGCGGCAGTGTAGGGGGCGGTATAAGCGGCTGTGTAGGCAGCTGTGTATGGGGCAGCAGCTACATAGGGAGCGGTATAAGCCAAGGGAGCAACAATGCCGGGTTTAGCAGCAGCCAAGGCAACGACAGCCATCAAGCACAAAGCGAACTAAAATAACACGATAATAAAATAATTATTAGAAATTGTTTTGTCTTTATCCTGCGACAATAACAAACAACTATCCTGTTTGGTTTAAAACTTACAAATTTGAACATTTTGAATTGTTTGTTTTATTTGTGTGGTTGTTTGCAGAACTTATTGAACTGATAACAAATCGTTAACATTTTCTAGTTTATATACTACTACTACTGCCCAAGTAATTGTTGGCAAAAGTACTTTGACTTTGGGTCTGGTCCCATTGTTTTTTGCTGTTGTCTTCTCATTTTATTTTGGGCAATATGCAAATTTCTTTACGGACATGTCTCCCGCACTAGATTCTTTGTCTCCCATCGCTGCTTCATGGTTGGATGTTACGATTTTTTGCTTTGGTTTTGTTTTTCCATTTGGGCAATATGCAAATTTTACACAAACATGTCACCCGTGCCAAGGTCAAATGTTGTGTTGAGGAAGCAGACAGCAATTTGCCAATTGGTGGCTGCCGAACTGAATTGGATTTATTATTGCCAAATTGTTTACCCACAAGCTCGTCAATAGTCTGAACAGCAATGCACGTACGATTGATTCGAACTGTTTCAATTTGACTTGGTTTTCGTTTGAGCCACATTTTTTTTATTGTTGATATTCATTTTGCAATTAGCGTTTTTCATCACAAAAGCCGAACCCATTTAGGAATAGCCAACAGAATAATAATCATTAGGATCCAATAGATCGTATAGATATATAGAGGATACTACGAAATGCGTTTAATTCGACCTATTCGATTTTCTTGTAAGCTGGAAGTTGCTGTCTTTGACTATATTCTTGAAAATATACAATTAGAATCGGAATTTTGGAGTTAATGATGTAGAATTGTTCGCTGTATATCAGACTTCATGTTGGGTAACAAATTCAGATGAATATCTCTCACATACTCTGATTGAGAAGCTGGAAGTCCCTCTGTTCTTTGTAAGGAGTGATTGTGTGGTTCATCAAAAGTTAATACCCACCTTCCTCAGTTAAATGTGAGATGAAGTGTACTATGATTTTTATAACCATAAGGTGGAGTGTATATTAAATTTATCATTCTGTTGGCGACACCTCGAAATATTCGTCGGACACCTAATATGATTTCAGAATAAAATCCTTTGTCTGTCTGGCTATCGCAATATTAAATATGGAGCTTGCACATACATGATACTACTTCTTAGATATTTAGTATTGAAAATGAAATATAAGGGTCCCGTTTTGCTCTAGACCCATATAACGGCAAGCCTACATTGTCATGTATAAATTCCCATACATATACACTGGTGGCCAAAACTAAAGCCACTAAAAATGCTGCATAACGTTTTCAAAAATAAAGATATCGTGTTGGTTTTTTCTATTTAAATCGGTTATTTTATACTCTCTTAGAAAAGCAATAATGCAAAATTCATTACGAAATAATTAATAATTTATTGATAAGTGAGTTGTCTCGATTTTTGCAGAACAGATAAGCTCTATATGTATAATCGAATACGGTCCCACGTATATGTTTCTCGCGATCACCATAATTTAATTGCAACATGACATAAATTCGTAATCTAAGGCAAATTTTGACTATCTCAAGATTTAAGATATCTTCATGTCCTTAAATTTATTTAAACGCTCTCTTTAAAATTAATTAAAATAGTATATACAAATTTCTCTAGTATTCTCTTTTTAGTAAAAAATTCCAATATTTTTTCGATTTCAATAAAACTGTTATATATCTTTTATTTTCATCTCGTTTCTTCTTAATACTTTTTAATAACAACAAATAACAATATCGGTTCAAATCTTCAAATCCTTAAATTGAAATCTATTTACGCAACAAATAGGAAGCAGCATAAGGATAAGTGTATGCGCTGGCATAAGGAGCGGCAACATAGGGAGCAGTATAGGCAGCAGAGTAGTAAGGAGCGGTATATGCGGCAGTGTATGGGGCGGTATAGGCGGCTGTGTATGCAGCTGTGTATGGGGCAGCAGCTACATAGGGAGCGGTATAAGCCAAGGGAGCAACAATGCCGGGTTTAGCAGCAGCCAAGGCAACAACGGCCATCAAGCACAAAGCGAACTGTAAGGAAGGATGATTACATTATTAGATTTCGCTACTACACAATTAATCTTCCGAAAACAATCTCGGGATATTTGATTTAAAACTTACAAATTTGAACATTTTGAATTGTTGGGGGTTTGTTGTGTTTTAGTTTGCAGAACGTATTGAACTGATATCAATTCCTTAACTTTATTGAGTTTATATACACAAAATTCAGTCTATTGGCAAAAATTCTAAACAATACATTTTTTGTTTAACTTTTTGTCAATATGCTAATCCACTCTGTGCATGTGTGCCTGGCCAACACTCCCACTAAGGTCACATATGTGTGGATTTTTTAGTAATTTGACAGCCAAAATGTTCATGACTATCACAGACACAGTAGTTTCAGTAACAACACGTACCAAAACCCAGGCTACTATTTTTTTTATGCCCTCAGTCTTATGGCTAATGAGGATATATTCGTTTTGCTACGGAAAATATGTGCCTTATTGATGTATTGGTTTTATCCCCAAGTGTCTTTGGACCAATTCCGTTTCAGACAATCTGTAGCCGATTTACATATGTCCAGCTGGCTGGTGCGATAATTCTCAAAGGGAGTAACCGATTTCATCCAAATTTGTGTATTTCTTTTTTTTTGGAAAACTTAAAGCTTGACTCGAAAGAGTATAAATAACTCACTTAAAATTTCATTGAAATCACCGCCCCTTACAGGCAAAATTCAAATAATAGAATTTTGTGTAAAATAGTTAAACCAGACATAACATTTAGCGTGTATCAACTATGCTCTAATTCGAAATTATGACTCTATATTGCTGTCACATCCTTTATCTAGTTTTCTTTGTACTGTGGTCAATTTTATGTTTGTTGTCTATCTATATTCTATATTTTTGATCCCCAAAATAGTGCAATTCATTGTAGAAAATTTGAACACATAAAGTTGAACCTTTGTTTTTAACCCTTTGTGGCCCACAGGCAACAAAATATTTTAGAGCTTATATATAATACGCGGGTAGTAAATTTATATTTTTTGGATAACAAATGTCAAGAGCTGATTATGGCCGACATCAAAAGAAAAATCTAAAAAATTCAAATTTTTGGTCAAGTTAGAAATTTTTCAATGCAGTGATGAATGCAAAAATATGTACAGTACCAATTTGTGTATACAGTCCAAATGATTTAAATCGCATCGTATTCGAAATGTACGAATTGTATCATCCAAATTGTTGTTGAGTCTTGCAAAAAAAAAACCTAAACATTTTTTCGTCGATATTGCATTTGCTTTTGTTGGTTTTGTACTTTTATTTTTCGGAAAGAAGGTACTGTATCTCCCAAACTCAAGGATGTAGCGACGCCAAATTTTGTTCATATCCTATTTAGGATAGTTACATTAAATCTGTGCATAGAAAATAATCCTATTGCCACGGATAAAAATTCGGGGCTCAAAAAGTTAAGGAATCATTGCAGTAGCCTTATGTTGTCTCTTGTCACTTTACTGAGTTTACAATTTTTGCTCATCGAAATAATCATTTTATTCTTATATGACAGAATTGGACAATATTTGTTAGATATACCTTTCAAATAATCATCCGTCCGTTTTTAGGTATTTTTGTGATCTTATTTTCGTTTCAAAATCGAATTGGCTGTAATTAAATATTTCAAGTTATCAATTACACATCAGTCATCAAAGTCTGCTGTATGTTAACCTCACAATATAGATCGTAATATTAAAGATATCTTGCTTTCACTCTCAAGATGTTTCATTTTGAAAATGTAATGTAGTAATCCAAAATATCAGTAACGCATAAAGGGCTATTTCTCCATTTTATTTGACAATCGGTTAAGACGATTTCTGTATTTATACCATTGAAATCCAAATTGTCAACAAAATAGTTAACTCAAATCCTGCATTCCTTTTAAATACATTTGCAGAAAGACAACTATCTGTTTCATCATCTCATACCAATAAATAAAAAAAGTTAATTGATTTAGTTTCCTCCAAAAATAAGTAATTTTTTATTAAGTTTTCATTCGTTGTTTTTTTAACCTCAACAATAAAACAATATCCGTTCATTTCCTCAAATCCAATCTATTTACGCAACAAGTAGGAAGCAGCATAGGGATAAGTGTACGCGCTGGCATAGGGAGCGGCAACATAGGGAGCAGTGTAGGCGGCAGAGTAGTAAGGAGCAGTATAGGCGGCAGTGTAGGGGGCGGTATAAGCGGCTGTGTAGGCAGCTGTGTATGGGGCAGCAGCTACATAGGGAGCGGTATAAGCCAAGGGAGCAACAATGCCGGGTTTAGCAGCAGCAAAGGCAACAACGGCCATCAAGCACAAAGCAAACTAAAATAACACGATAATAAAATAATTATTAGAAATTGTTTTGTCTTTATCCTGCGACAATAACAAGCAACTATCCTGTTTGGTTTAAAACTTACAAATTTAAACATTTTAAATTGTTGGGAGGTTGGTTGAGTGATTGTTTGCAGAACGTATTAAACTGATAATGATTCCTAAACGCTGCCTAGTTTATATACTCAGTTATTTGGTAGCAAAGTTCTGAATAATTTCAGTGTCATTTTCTTCCATATGCAAATCGAATATCATGAATGTACGTGAATGGTCAACACCTGTACTAAGGTCAAAAGTTTGACGGTAAGGGAACAATTGTTTGCGGTTGTTTGTTGAGCTTCATCCAAAATTGCCTAAATGTTCACGAGTACAACAATTTCGTGCATATCCAATCGTAGCGACAAAAAAAATCACGTACGCACTAAATCTGCTACCGCGTTCGTTTCAAACACACCACAGTTAATTTTTGTTTAATATTAGTTGTTCCTAGTTTGTTGTATTTTTATGTTAATCATCGAATGATTTACTAAGGCGGCCACGTGACTTAAATGTATTAATGGACGTTTGATTAAATTATTTGTTGTGACATAAAATGGAGTCCAACATTAGAACAACGAACACTTCAACAATCAATGAATTGCAATTGATTCTATTAAGACATTTAGGTTTTAGGTTAACAGGTTTTGGCCAATTCGGTTTTAATCATTTGTGCTTTTAATATTAAGTTCGCCACAATTATTAAAATTAAAATACAATTATTTTAAAATTAATATAAATCAAATAATAGAAGGGTTATCATGAGAACCAAGGTAATTTTTAACATCCAGATGTAAGCAGTGATACACAAATCAAAATTTGTAAAAACAATAACTTTGGTTTAATCGAGAGATATATAGAATAAGGCAATTTCCGTATAATATGTGTGTCCAAAAGAAAATTAACACCAATACTGTCACAAGCCTGATTTTGAGCATTTAATTTCTAATCTTTTTTTATTTTTATCTCACCATCCGTTATAGGGAAACAAATTACACCTTCAAATAAAAAACTCCCACAGCATTTGCATACACTATGATATGACGAGTGCTTAAACTAATTTTCAAGCATTGAGTTTCTTCATAGAGATGAGTAGGAAGCACTTTCATAGAAAATAAGCCGTCGAGAAAAAATATCTATAAAAATAGTTCATTCAGAAATGAACCAACAAGGCTACTCCAAAAACTCCTTGATAAAACCGAATAAGCTTTGATAGTTTTTGGAATATCGAAATGTATTTATTGTATATTTTAATCGAATCCGTCTGCTTTATAAAGCGCAGGTAAACGGATGAAGACAGTTAAATCATTCAATTTCCGTTTTCTTTTCTTGTCTTTTTGTAAAATATTTGGATGTCGACAAATCTCACCTAAATTTATGAATGTAGAACAGTCGAAATCGCTTATAACGACGGACAAGGGACCTTTGAAATTGGTCGCTACAACTTATAAACAATATAAAATAAAAGCATCAGGACATTGTCGTTATAAACGGTGCCGCTTAAAACTATTTTGACTGTAATTTTAATAGCAAATTTGCTCTTCTGGAATAAAGGTGTCTTATTTCAGAAAACGTTCCAATTTGATGGAGGATTTTTGAAACTCCCTACATCTTTGTAAATTTTCGTGTCTTGAATTCTTTTTTAAGCGGCACTAGAAGTTTTTGGTATCAGATGTTTTTCCAAAATAATGATATTTTCCCAAATTCTTGTTCAATCGAATGAATTGTTGACAAATACTGATTTTCAGCCTATGACTATTTGTTCCGCAAAAAATAAATCAGATTTCCGAATAATTTAAAAAAAAAAATACAATTGATTCAGGTTTTCATTGTAAATGGATTTTTATTTGTTTTCATTTTTTAATTTCAATATCCGTTCAATCAAGTCTCAAATTCAAGTCTCAAAATTAAAATCTATTTACGCAACAAGTAGGAAGCAGCATAAGGATAAGTGTAAGCACTGGCATAAGGAGCGGCAACATAGGGAGCAGAGTAGTAAGGAGCGGTATAGGCGGCAGTGTAAGGGGCGGCATAAGCGGCAGTGTAGGCAGCTGTGTATGGGGCAGCAGCTACATAGGGAGCGGTATAAGTCAAGGGAGCAACAATGTCGGGTTTAGCAGCAGCCAAGGCAACGACAGCCATCAAGCACAAAGCGAACTGAAAAAAAAACACGATAATAAAACAATTATTAGACATTGTTTTGCCTTTATCCTGTGACAATAACAAACAACTATTCTGTTTGGTCTAAAACTTACGAATTTGAACATTTTGAATTGTTTGGTTAAGTGATTGTTTGCAGAACGTATTGAACTGATAATGATTCCCAAACGCTGCCTAGTTTATATACTCAGTTCTGAATAATTTAAGTGTCATTTTCTTCGATATGCAAATCGAATATCATGAATGTACGTGAATGGTCAACACCTGTGCTAAGGTCAAAAGTTTGGCGGTAAGGAAACAATTGTTTGCGGTGGTTTGTTGAGCTTCATCCAAAATTGCCTAAATGTTCACGAGTACAACAATTTCGTGCATATCCAATCGTAGCGACAAATAAATCACGTACGCACTAAATCTGCTACCGCGTTCGTTTCAAACACACTATAGTTAATTTTTGTTTAATATTAGTTGTTCCTAGTTTGTTGTATTTTTATGTTAATCATCGAATGATTTACTAAGGCGACCACGTGACTTAAAAGTTTTTAATGGATGTTTGATTAAATTATTTCTTATGGCATAAAATGGAGTCCAACATTAGAACAACGAACACTTCTAACAATCAATGAATTGCAATTGATTCTATTAAGACATTTAGGTTGTAGGTTAACAGGTTTTGGCCAATTCGGTTTTAATTATTTGTGCTTATAATATTAAGTTCACCACAATTATTAAAATAAACAATTATTTTAAAATTAATAAATCAAATAATAGAAGGGTTATCATGAGAACCAAGGTCAATTTTAACATCTAGATGTAAGCAGTGATACACAAATCAAAATTAGTAAAAACAATAACATTGGTTTAATCGAGAGACATATAGAATAAGGCAATTTCCGTATAATATTATGTGTGTCCAAAAGAAAATTAACACCAATACTGTCACAAGCCTGATTTTGGGCATTTAATTTCTAATCTTTTTTTTATTTTTATCTCACCATCCATTATAGGGAAACAAATTACACCCACATCATTTGCATACACCATGCTATGGCGGGTGGTTAAGCTTATTTACAAGCATTGAGTTTCTTCATAGAGAAGAATAGGAAGCACTTTCATAGAAGAGAAATCGTCAAGAAAGAACATCTGTAAAAATAGTTCTTTCAGAAATGAACCAACAAGGCTACTCCAAGTTACCAAGTTAAAAACTTGATAAAACCGAATAAGCTTTGATAGTTTTTGGAATATCGAAATGTATTTATTGTATATTTCAGTCGAATCCGACTCTTCTTTATAAAGCACGGGTGAACGGATAAAGACAGTTAAATCATTCAATTACCGCTTTCTTTTCTTGTATTTTTCTAAAATATTTGGATGTCAACAAATCTCACCTAAATTTATGAATGTTAGAACAGTCGAAATCGCTTATAACGACGGACAAGGGACCTTTGAAATTTGCTCTTCTGGAATAAAGGTGCCTTATTTCAGAGAACGTTCCAATTTGATGAAGGATTTTCGAAATTCCCTACATCTTTGTAAATTTTCGTGTTTTGAATTCTTTTTTAAGCGGCACTAGAGGTTTTTGGTATCAGTTGTTTTTTTTCAAAATAATGATATTTTCCCAAATTCTTGTTCAATCGAATGAATTGTTGACAAATACTCATTTTCAGCCTATGACTATTTGTTCCGCAAAAAATAAATCAGATTTCCGAATAATTTACAAAAATAAAATACAATTGCTTCAGGTTTTCATTGTAAATGGATTTTTATTTGTTTTCATTTTTTAATTTCAATATCCGTTCAATCAAGTCTCAAATTCAAGTCCCAAAATTAAAATCTATTTACGCAACAAGTAGGAAGCAGCATAAGGATAAGTGTAAGCGCTGGCATAAGGAGCGGCAACATAGGGAGCAGAGTAGTAAGGAGCGGTATAGGCGGCAGTGTAAGGGGCGGCATAAGCGGCAGTGTAGGCAGCTGTGTATGGGGCAGCAGCTACATAGGGAGCGGTATAAGTCAAGGGAGCAACAATGTCGGGTTTAGCAGCAGCCAAGGCAACGACAGCCATCAAGCACAAAGCGAACTATAATAAAGGGTAATCAGGCTATTAGTATTGAGTTCTTCTATGAGATATCATTCGATAATCAAATCAAATATTTTGGGTTGAAACTTACGAATTTGAACATTTTTATTTTTTGGGGGTTTGTTGTTTGCAGAACGTATTGAACTGATAATTATTTCTATAGGCTACATCGTTTATATACACATTTATTTGCCAGGCAAATTCTAAATAATTTAAGTTTCAATTTTGTCTCTATGCAAATTATATGGTCAACACCCCCACTAAGGTCGCATGGTTGTGGGTAAGGGAATACATGTTTATGTTTGTTGCGTTCATTCCAATATGGCCTAAATGTTCGATCTCCCAGTTCATATCCAATCGCAGCGACTACGACACGTACGCACCAAATAAACTACCGCATACGTTGCAAACACTCCATAGTTTCAGTTAACTTTTGTTTTGGAATTGTTTGTGTTCGTTTTTATGTTAATAATCAAATTTTTTACTACCACAGCCACCTGACTTAGAAGTTTCTGATAGACTTTTGCTTAAATTATTATGTGGTGGTATGTCGTGGCGCCCAACATTAGGAAAACGAAGACTTATTCCAATCAATGAATTGTATTTGATTTTATTAAGACCATCTGTTCGGTAGTTTAGACTTTGAGTCGGAACAACGTTATTCGGTGTTGACTAATTTGGAATTTGTTTACAATAAAATAATAGTTTATTGTGGATATAAGGAACATGGGTGTGAGATAAGGATCTTTGCAACCAAACGCCAAGATCCTTCACAGATTCCAGTTTTCAGAATTCGGGTTAAAAACCACAACGAGAGGGACGAGCCATATAAAATAACGGGTTAGTCGAGGTATTGTAGTATCAGCCAAAAATTGGGATTTCCTCTGTTAAATATCAACTCAAATGAACAACATGTAAATTTTTAACTGAACATTTAAAATTTTAATATAAATAAAGTAAAAAGTGCCAGTCGGTGTTGTCGACATATATATGCTCAACCTCATCCTTTGCGGAGGTCTACAGAATTTTTTATTCGCTTTATAGAAGATATATGGGTTTTCAAAGAATAATTCATGGAGTAATTCCAGATGAGGTTGGTAAAAATGTGGGGGAGGAATAGAAGAAGGGCACCCATAGGGCCAACGTTCTAACATTATCAGACATGGTAAAAATATTAGGCTATTCTAAGTTTAGTTCAAATCGGATAGTCCGTTCGCAAGATATTATTGATCATTTTGTGTGGGAGGTATCAGAAGGAGTGGACCGATATTCCCCATATTCGAACTTTATTTGAAATTGAAAGAAATGTTAAAATGCTAAGGTTTAAACCAAATCGGAAATTTAATTAGCCTAGTATTGGATTTATAAATATTGAAAATGTTGATCCTCTGTTGGGGAGGTACCAGAAGGAGTGGAAAAATAGGTCCTATCTTCGGATCTGTTCTAGGCTTGGTAAAGATAATAGGTTTTGCAAAATTTTGATCAAATAGGGTCGTCACTTCGCATGATATTAAAAAAATTAATTTTCAGCAAAATTCCGACCACTTTGTGGGGGTTGTACCTCATTTTCGAGCCTGACCTAACTTTGAAAGAAATATTACGATGTGCAAAGTTTGGATGAAATCTCGCATGTCCGCCCACCTACCAGACAAGCGGACGGTCATGCGTAAATGGAATCAAAATTGTGTGGAACGGATTTGTTCCAAAGAAGCAACCATAAAAGTGTATACTCCCTCATTAGCCATAAGGGTACAACAAGAGTAGTTACCCCCTATATATGAAATAAAAAATATTCAATTGCTTTTGGGTTTCATTGTAAATGGTTCATTATTATTTTTTTCGTGTTTTTTTTTTAATTTCAACAAATATAACAAAAACAATATCCGTTCAATTTCTCAAATCCTTAAATTCAAATCTATTTACGTAACAAGTAGGAAGCAGCATAAGGATAAGTGTAAGCGCTGGCATAAGGAGCGGCAACATAGGGAGCAGTGTAGGCAGCAGAATAGTAAGGAGCGGTATAGGCGGCAGTGTAGGGTGCGGTATAAGCAGCGGTGTATGCAGCTGTGTATGGAGCAGCAGCTACATAGGGAGCGCTATAGGCCAAGGGAGCAACAATGCCGGGTTTAGCAGCAGCCAAGGCAACAACGGCCATCAAGCACAGAGCGAACTGTAAGGGAGGATAATTACATTATTAGATTTCGCTACTACACAATAAATACTCCGGTAACATTTTCAAGATATTTGTTTTAAAACTTACAAATTTGAACATTTTGAATTGTTGGGGGGTTTGTTGTGTGATTGATTGCAGAACGTATGGAACTGATAATAATTCCTAAACGTTCCATTGTTTATATACCCATCAGCATTATTGGCACAATTCTAAATAATTTTAATTTTAATTTGTCAATATGCAAATCTACTGTGTACATTTGTGGTCAACACCCACACGAAGGTCAAACAATTAATTGTTAACAGTTAATTGTTCGTCGTAAAGCTTCTGCCAATATACAGCCTAAATGCTCACGAATACAATGTTTTCGTTTTTCTATTTTTTATTATTTCATATCCAATAGTTTTGACAACGGCACGTACCCAATAGGCTGTCATGTACATCGGAAACTTGCCAAAGGTTTTTGGTGATTTCTGCTTTGGATTTGTTTACTTTGGCTCTGTGGTGTTTGTTTGTCGTATTTTTAGTTTCGTTTTGAACTTCGGTAATCAGATGATTATAGTCTGCGTTTTTTTTTTCAACTGCAATAAAAGTGTCAAGTTTGTAATTTAGTGAATAGTACCATGATCATGATTGATTTCGTTGTGACGACATGTCTTTGAATTCACAGACTTTTTAAGAAGGTTCCCAACCACTTCATTCTTTCATTTTCCAACGTTTTCCCGAGAAATAGGGATTTTTAATTTGGCCTTGATTTGTTTCTTTAAATAATATTGTCGTATTCGTATGTAAAAAGTTGCGCGTAGAAAGATTACAAATATGAATTTACTACCAAAAGCCATAATAATAGCCTAAAATAATTTTGGCTTACAAATCTTAAGGTTGACCCAATTGCTCCCAATTC